AAATTTTTTTCCAAAATTTGACTTTCGTTAAAAAATAGGCAAAAAACAAAAAAATAAAACGCTAAATTTCAAAGTTTTTTTGAAATAACTCCAAATACATAAAAATCTCAAAAATGTTCATGGATCAAAAATTATAGAGCATGAATTTTCCAGCAAACATTTTTTCATCCGTCTACTTGTTTGAATAATAGAACGCGCTAAATTTGCACCAAAAAATAATCGAAAAGTGTAGGGTCATTTTTTAAAAGTAGAATACTGAAAAAAAATCATTTTTATGAACAACTAGTTATTGAAGAATTTATTGATCATCTGTTATAATAGATATGAAGATTTTTGGGTACACTGATAAAAAATTTAACTTGATTCAAAAGAAAAAAATCTTGAATCGAGAATACCATTTTTAAGAAAATAATTTTTTTGAGTCAAGAGGAAAAATTCTTGAATTGAGAATAATTTTTTGACTTAAGGATTTTTTCTCTTGACTCAAAAAAATAATTTCCTTCAAAATGGTACTCTTGGTTCAAGATCTTTTTTCTTGAATCAAGTTAAATTTTTTATCAGTGTAAAAAAACGGGGACAAAAATTTTTGTTTATTTTTGTAAGTTTAAAAATATTTTTGTAACTACTTTACTTTCAAAAATAATTCACCAACAAAATTCATGCAACAATTGATATCAAGTGCCTTGCAATTTTTTAACAGTAAAATAAATTTTTTTGTTTATTTCTTTATTCCTATTTCAAATTTATTGAAAATAATTTTTTTAAAAATTGAATTATAAAAAGCAAATTAAATCATTTACTTATTTACGTGAGTTAATCTTGAGAACTTCATTATAAGAACTATAAATAGAATCAAAACCTATCAATAATAAAAACTGTAGCATTAAATCAAGTTAAAATCAGTAAATCCAAACATTAGTTTTCAGTGTGTTTGTATTTATATTTATTACATCTCTGGTACCTTGTACCGCCAGCGTTGTTTAACGTGTGTCGAAAGGAATACACAGGAAGACAGAGCTCCCACTTTATCCACTTACATATACATATACATAGGATCTACTCGAATCGGTCCGTGTTGATGGGTCCAGACTTAGGGACAGGTGGCACGCAGCCTCCAGGGAGCCAAAAAGAATACGCGGTTGAATAGAAAAAGATGGTAAAGCCCGGGGGCATGGGAACCTGACTTTAAGGGCCACCATCCCTATCCACTATCCCTATATATCAGTCCTACATTACATTACACTACACACTACACATTATACCACACTAGGAAGTGAGTTTTATCCTCCCCAGCCTCTTTGTCCCCCTCACTAGCTTCCTCTTCGTATTCATTCTCGCTGCAACAAATCAAGGGTAAAAATACCACTTACATCTCATTAATTTATACACAATACCTCATTTTTTTCGAGAATATAGGTTGGTTAATTATTTTTTAAATTCCTCAAAAATATTCTTAACTTTTATGCAGCAAAATTTTAAAGCCATAATCTTAATTTAAAGAATTTCATCTCTGTGAAAAAATTTTCTGATATATATCAGATGTTCCCATGTCAGATTTAATATGGTCATATATGCCCACGTATAATTTTTCGACCTAATATAGTAGTGAATATTTTTGAAGGAGGGTGCATCGTCGCTAAATTGTTTCTACAAAAAAATTAAGCTTGAGGTATTAGCTTCTAAGAAAAAAAATTTTTTTTTCACTCTTCTAAGTATCTTATCAGAAATTGGTTTCTTATTTTTTTAAATCAACTGCTAGACCAAATTTTTTTCAATACATTTTTATTGACCTACAAGTTTCTAGAAAATAATAAAAACTAATAAGCTTTTTTATTCTCATATATAGCCTCATATGGTAATATATGACCAGACATAAAACTTGGCTACAAATAGCTATATCGGAATAGTTTTTCACGGGTCATCACTTTTTTTGTAATTTGATAAAGATTTTTCAGGCTGTGGTTGGTTATACTGTTTATTTATTTTGGGTTTTAAAAGTTATGCAGGGGAAAATTGAATGATTAGGTGTGAAAATTCGATAGTACATAAGTCACACTAAGCGCAGGGTTTGATTTTTTAGGATTTAAGATTAAAATTTTTACAAGATTTATTATAAATAGAAAACGAAAATAAGTAAAATATTCCGGGGATAGAAAAGTTTGTAGAAATTTATTATTCAACGTCATCTGGTTGAAATATTAAAAGTTCAAAACTTAAATTCTGAATAAAATATTAAAAATGAAAATGAAATTGTTACATTTTTTTTTTTTTTTTTAACTTAGAATCAAGATAAAAAATAAAATAATTTCTTGAAAAATTCCTCGTACTAAGGATTTATTGAAATTCACGAAAAGGTAATAATAATAACAATATCAACAATAATTATAATGATGATGATGATGATAATGATGATGATAATGATGATGATGATGATGAAGAGAAGCCATAACGGACTCAGTGATGATGCGTGACAATTCGAATTTGGACGCAATTACCTTCGGAGTCACGTGATACGAAAGGAAGTAGTCGAAATCACCGTTCGTTCATTCAACTCTTGTATTCCATTCTTATTCTTCCATATTACATATATTCTTTATCCTTGTTTATTTTTTAATTTTATCCACCTACTTTTTATTACAGGCTTCTTTCACTCGGCTCCACCTTCCACCTGATCCTCTCTTTTTATTCTCATTTTCTCCGACTCGGACCTTTAGATCCTCATCCTCAACTTGAGTAGAGCATCTTCGGGTTCAGTTTAGTTCAGTTTATCGGGTTTTTTTCTCACCGAACACCCAAATTACAGCTATATACTAGTATATTCTGTTGCGAGAGCGTAGTAAATGCTACCGGTTAATAGTTACTTGCTCTCCTTTCTCTTTTTTTTCAAACCCACAATATTTTATTGTAAATTTAGAAGAACAACTTTTTTTATTTTTTCACATTTAGATGGATTGAAAAAAAAAATTTTTTATAACAGTCTGTCTTTTATGAATATCTTAATTACAAAAAAAATATTTAGTAAAAAAAGTGAATCATAAAATTTTTCCTAAAAAAATCTAGTAGGTTGTTTAAATCTTGATGAGTTCGCAAGCTATAAAAGTTTGAATAATGAATTATCAATCATCAATATTCAACTTCAATTCCTTTTACGGGTGAGTAAAAATTAATTTTTTCATAAATATCTCCACGGGTCATAGAGACATGACGTGAGATTAAATTGAAGAAATAATTAAAAGAATTTTGTGATTAGCTGGAAGAGTGATAAGACTGAACATTATTAAAATTACATATTTTCCATTATTATTATTATTATTCTTAAAATCATTATGAGTGTGTGGTTAATCCCAGGCAGCACAATTGGGGCGCATATCCGCCGGGCAGCGATAAACAACGTCAGATAATTAATTTTATAGCTACTCAATTTCCAGGAGATTCGGCTACCGTCTCATCAGCTCGTCTTGGGTCCAGGCCCCGCGGGGCCCCATATATATTCGTTAGTCGTGACCCGAGACCTAAAGTTAAAAAATCGCCTCAACAGCTAAACCATCAAACCAAAAAAAAAAAATTAGGAAAACGGTTGACCCTAAAGGCCATTCCTGCAACTTCCCGCTACCTCCATACCTAAGTGCTCAACAATTCACTTATTTTTTAAGCTCTTCGAGCTCAAAAATGTAATTTTTGTGTAATTTTGAGCTCTCCGAGCTCAAATAAATCGCTGTTCTGTGCTTTTGAGCTCTTCGAGCTCAAAAGTCGAATGGAAGTTTTATAGAACACTATTTTTCGAATTTTCAAACCGCCATAACTTTTGAATGAATTTACCGATTTTCTCGCGGTTTACGGCATTCAACGCAGTTTTTTGAGTTCTTTGAAAAAATTTTGAGCGTAAACTGGTCAGACTAAAAATTTCATAGAAATTCTGTAAAAAACATTTTTTTCAATTTTTTTCGACAACGATATTTCACGAACAAATCAACCGATTTTTACCGGGCTGGTGGCAATCGACGTGGTTTTTCGAGGTTAAGAGCTGATTAGATTTTGGAATTGATCGGTTTAGCCGTTTAAAAGATATTTCAAAAAAAAGAATTTTTGGAAATTTTATTTTTGAGATTTCTCAAAATTGATCGACTCAAATTCTGTAAATTAGTATCAGAATTCTAGGGGCAAAAAAACTCTTCAGAACGCTGCCTATTTCGATCCAATCAGATGATCCGTTCAAAAGTTATGAGAGATTTACATACATACATACATACATACAGACACGGTGACATCAACGCGGAAATAGTCAGGAAAGCTTCTAGGACCTCAAAACGTCGAGATCTGATGAAAATTCGATTTTCGAAAAACGGGGTGAAAACAATAACTTCCCGATTTTTGAAAATTTTCAATTTTCTTAGCGGGAAGTTAAAAATTAGAAAAACGGTTCACCCTAAAGGCCATCCCTGCAACTTCCCGCTCATTTTGTACTTAAACGCTTCAAACTACACATTACGTTTTTGAGCTCTTCGAGCTCAAAAATGTTATTTTTGTGTCAATTTGAGCTCTTCGAGCTCAAAACTCTAATAACAGTTTAAAGACACAATTTTTTGAATTTTCAAACGGCAATAACTTTTGAATGAATGAACCGATTTTCACGCGGTTGGTGGCAATCGACACAGTTTTTAAAGCTCCATGAAAAATTTTCAAGTTTAAATCGATCGAGCCATGAATTTCGAAGTTATTACAAAAAATTACTTTTTTCGATTTTTTTCGACAACGATATCTCACGAACGCATCAACCGATTCTAACGTTTTTGGTGGCGATCGATGGGGGTTTTTAAGGTTAAGAGCTGATTAGTTTTTGAGACTGATCGGTTCAGCCAATTCGGAGATATTTAAAAAAAATAAAAAAAAAATAACTTTTTTTTTCACCTTTTTTTCACTTTTTTTGCATTTTCTCGAAATCTACCGGTCCGAATCGGTTCAAATTTTCAGAAAATCTAAGTCGAGTGAAGACCTTTCGAATGACACCAACCGCGATGAAATCGGTTAAGTCGTTCAAAAGTTACAAGAGGTTTACACACACACACACACACACACACACACACACACACACACACACACACACACACACATACAGACGTACGGACATCATCGTAAAAATAGTCAGGGAAGCTTCCTGTGACCTTCAAACGTCGAGATCTGATGAAAACTCGATTTTTGTAAAACGGGGTGAAAACAATAACTTCCCGATTTTTGAAAATCTGAAATTTTTAGCGGGAAGTTAAAAATAAACATTTTTTTTATTCAAAATTTAAGGACACAAGGTCACAATAACTTCTTAACTTACACAAGAGTTTTTTAAAAAAACTAAAAGAAAAAATATCGTACCATGTGTCTTTATACAATTCATAAAATTTTTAAAAAAACTTGAGAAAAATAACTTTTGAGTAGTAATTAAAAAATTTTCTGATAAGTGCAATTTTCATATCTGCTCATATATGACTCAATCTGTTTACATATGGCTATGCTTAAAAACAAAAAAATAATCTATTATAATTTTTTTAGAAATGTGTACGTCTATTTACATGACATGTTAAAGAAAAATTGGTTAAGTACAATCTAAAATCCAATATCAAATAAGCTTCAATAGAAGTCAAAAAAATATTTTACTACTTATAATTTAATTAAAATTCATGTTCTCGTCCATGATGTTAAATATAATAGTATAATTATCAGGAACTTGGACAGTAAAAAATTCAAGTGCTAAATTTTCAAATACTGTCTTGAGTATTGTAATTTTTCAACTAAATTATTTTGGTGGAAAGATACCTACTAAGTTTCCTCGTATAATATTTGTTATTTGTCTGACTTTATTTAGGTTTTTTAAAACGATGAAATTTTTCAGATTTAACTTTTATTTACAAGGGAGATAACTCCCAATGTAAGATTTTTAATGTTATTTTTATTTATATCTTTGTTAATTTGGTTGAATTGTTCAATATCATTTTGTTTTTATTTATACAGTTTGCCTGAAGAAGTTGTGAAATACAACGAAACGTTGCAGTATTTGAAAATTTAGCACTTGTATTTTTTTTGTCCAAGTTCCTGATAATTATATTATTATAATTTAATATCTCAAACTAAACTTTCTTGTAAAAAGACGATTTAAGAATCATGCACCCCTCCATCAAAGATTTTCAGCATTACCTCTGATTAAAAAATTATATATGGGCATATATTATATAATCAGGCCTGATATGGGTATGTCTAGTCATATCAGGAAATATTAAGCCAGATATTAAGATAATATAATTAGAAGACCATATATGTATGCATCAAATTTTTCTGAAATTGATATATATGAACATATCGGAAAATGTTTTCACGGGTATATGGTTAAAAAAGTATATCGCGTTTGATTGTAACTTGGGTGTAGTGGAAGGGGGTCCAGTGCACAGTAGCATTGAAAAAATCCCTCGAAATGTATGTGCCGATGTATATAATAATATAAGTACGATCTACGATGTATGGATGTATAGACTTGAACCTTTTCCTGAAGGCATCAAAAACTAAACATAAATGGATGGACAGACGGTTACATAACTTGCTCGGGCATTGTACGTTGACGTACATTGACGCACATGGGACTTAGAAATTTAGTACATAGACTAGTAAATGGGGTATCATGTTCAGTCTCTAAGGCTTAAGGACTTTTGTTTGGCGTGGGAGGCTGTCGAGAGCCCATGGGGTCTTCAAGAGCGACCGAGATCAAACCTCTCTTTTCTCTCTCATATCATTACCATTTATACTCTCTTTCTTTTCTTATTTCTTTACACACTCACATTAGGCACCTGATCCGACCTTACCCAATCTTATACCCAATCCCCTAAAAACCCTATTCATGCTTTTTAAGACTCTTCAAAACGAATTTCTTGTATTATGGGAACTTTCCAAGACATTTGATTCTGCTTTTTAAATTATCTCAGTGTAAATTTTGTTATTTTTTTCATCCATTTAAAACTGCCTCCGATAATATTTAATCCATATTTATAAATATAAACACGTTTTTTATATTTCAATTACTTTTTCTTCGTAATAAAAATAGAGCGATATTTTTTTAAGATGAAAAAAATTGATCTGGCGCCCTTACAATTTTTTAATGAAAATAAAAAAAAAAACATCTAAATGTAAAAAATTTTACAAAATTAAGGATTCGCAAAAACATTTTTCTTCAACTATTTGTATCGTTTAAAATAAAAGTTACAAATTTTTGATAGACAATGTCTTTTTTCAGACATTTAAATATCGTCAAAAATTGAATTTTTTTTTCCAGTAAATTTTTTTTTTCGCAAATTTTCAGTTAAAAAAAAAATCGTCAATTTTTCATTGTGCACAACATGTTATTTTTTTTATCAAAAAATTTAATAATTCTTTGTAAATTACCATCAATTTTTTAACTTCCCGCAAAGAAAATTGAAAATTTTCCACTAAAGGGAAGTTATTGATTTCGGTCCGATTTTCGAAAGTCGAGTTTTCATCGGACCTCCACGTTTTGAGGTCCCAGGAAGCCATTCTGACTGTTCCCACCGAGGTGTCCGGTTGTGTGTGTGTGTGTGTGTGTGTGTGTATGTGGGTAAATAAATTTTTGTAGTACGATTTTTCAAAAACGAATCAACCAATTGAATTCTACGATACGTCATTCGAAAGGGTTCATCAAAACTTAGATCTGATTGTAGATTTGAGAGTTAATCCATCGAGCCATTCCGAAGAAATTAAAAAAAAAAAACCAAAAAAAATTTCAGTTTTTACGTTTTTTTTGTGCTTAAAAAACTGCGTCAAATGCATTTTCGAAAATGAAAATCGAATGACCCATTCAAAAGTTAAAGTTCAAGAATTCACAAAACTTTGTTATTCGGTAATTTTTTTAGATATCTTTGAGATTTTTCAACCAATCAATATAAACTGGTACGTTTCTTTTTTTTGCTTCAGAAACTGCGTTGAATACTTTTTTAAAAATGAAAAGCAAACGACGCATTCAGAAGTTATAGTTGTTTAATAAATACATTTGTAGCTCTTTGAATGTGAAAAATGGTGCTTTGAGCTTGCAGAGCTCAAACATTAACCAAAAAATACATTTTAAGGCGCTTCAAATTCAAACTTAGCAGGAAGTTCTAGGGTTGGCCTGCACGGTCAACCGATTTCCAGATTTTTTTTTATTGATGTTCGTGTTTCCACGCAACCAAAATGAAAACAAAGTATGAAAGCATGCATCCATTACTTTGAATGCTGCAATATACGACAATCGATTGAAGTAACAATGCAAAATTCGTTATTATAATGGAAAAAACGGATATTTTTTTATGTTGTTCTAGCAAATACTAGATCAGTTGCGATGAAGACCCAAAAGCGAACAGAGTAACTTATACATTGTTGTACGTAGTTATGCCATCTTCAAATGTCTAAAGACATTCGCAATGTGAAATATAAGTTGTTTAATTAAAAAAAAAATCAGTTAATGTGAATCAATGTGATTATGTTGATTGTGAAAATGAGTGTAAAAGAGATTATATTGATTTTTATGCTAAAAAAGTTTCGTGCTGTCAAATTGAAACTTACAGTCTACCTCAAACCAATTTAGATGATCATTTCAACAGACATGTGGTAATTGATTATTTGTTTACTTTAATAGTATTCTCTAATTAGTTGGATTTTTTCACTGACTTATAATTTACAGAAACGACTTCTAGAGTTTTGTTTTTCTGACCGTCTCAATCCTGTTGTTACTACCGAAGATTTGTATGATAAAATTCACAAGATTCCATGGGAAATCGTAGAGCCACCTATAATTATTCTTGATAGAAATGTTATATCCAAAGAAATTCAAGTGTTCAATCCAAGATATCCAACATATGTACTGTCGGTTTCTGGGTCGATTCAAAATCTAAAAACGCTGTTCGATAAATTGAAATCAACAACAATGTGGAGTGTTGAATCTTACTTTTTTATCGTTGAAGTAAAAAATTTTTGCGAAAACGCTGATGAAGTTCTCAAATTATTATGGAAGATCGATTTACTGTCATCTTTTTATTTGTGCCGAAAATCTGACTCTGGCGATTTGATCATCTACAATTACAACCCATTTACCAACTACGCACCATATCCATGGAGAAGCGCTGAAACAACTAGTCAAGAAATTGCTGAGAAGGGAACACTATTTTATCAACATTTCGATAATGGTAAATTTTATAGAACCCATACAAATCATTTGATCCATAATGTTTGTTAACGAAATTTTATCATGAATTACAGATCGGAGAGTTTGTCACAACATTACCTTTGATAAAACTAAAAATCTACGCAATCATCAAATAAAAACTTTATATCCGTTGGCAGTACCAAAAGCTACTCGTGATAATGTGATTGATGTTAGGAGTATAAATCTTACACTTATTCGAAATCCAAAAGAACCATCTGTGGATTTTTTATTCAATTTCTTGAATATAACACCATCTCCATATTTTATTCATATGGATGCTGTGATTGATGCTTCGAAGAAAGGATACCTCAAAGCATTAGCTAGTGGTAATTACGATATTAACGAAAGAAATATGCCCATTGCGAGTACTAATTATGAATATACTGATATACTGACTTATTATAAAGAAATTAAATTTTCAATAATAACTCAAAAACGGACTTTCTTGGCAATAATCAATCAAATTGTCAGCGAACACAATTACGAAATAATTTTATTTTCGATCATTGTTATATTATCAGTTGCTATTCCTATACTAATACACAATTATTTTGCATTCGGTATTTCTCTCCTAGATGTTTTTAGTCTGATATTTAATATGGGAATAATGACGCCTCTCGGTACACGGGAAGAAAATTGAAGGAGTTATTACTATTTTACTATTGTAATTTTTACTAAATAAAATAGTAACGGTGGACTATACTTCTCATTTAGTAATTTTTACGATCTACTATTGTAAATTTTATCCAACAAATAAGACTAGCAAGAGTTTTAAAAAGTCGAATACTATAGAGCAAATTATACAATATGTGTTTGTGAATTTTACAATTCAACTATTGTAAAAATTCACAGTTGGTTTTTTTAAAAGAAATATTAGGGAGGGAGAGAGATAGAAGGTTGCACGAATTGGTACCTGTACAGTAATCGAAAAAAGAAATAAATATTTTCGTGCTATCTGGGAATCGAACCTAGAACTCTGTGTTGGTAGCCAGAGACTCTCCCTTTAGGCTATCCGCGGTAAACTAAGACCCATGTCCTTTAACATTTATATAAACTCAGAGTCTAGCGCTGTGCACGGCCATCACTCACGCTAATTGAAAGACATTCCAATTCAACTATTGTAAAATTTGCTATAGTTCTATTGGAAAGATACAGAGGCAGCACTGGAAATTTTCATCTCTTACTTTTTACAATAGTAATATCGTATTTTTTCATTAATAAATAGTATTTTTTCTTCTAAAATATTTGATAATTAATAGGAATAAAGGTATAGTCCAGCTTTACAATAGTTGTATCGTAAATTTTCCCAGAAATTTTTTCCCGTGTAGATTGTCGATGCGGATTGTATTTGTCATAGCATCTTTTTTTATTTTTTCGGCATCCTCAGCTATTCAGAATGAAATATCGGCTCTTTTAGCGGGACCGTCTCATTACACTATTGATACATTGCAAAACTTGTTTGATTATCGTTATCATGTCTTTTATGATCAGGAATTACATCAGGATATATTAAACAAAAATATATGGGTTACTAATGACGATAAAAAATTCTTGCATTCTTGTGGTTATGAAAAACTATTTGATTGCTCTAAAAATGTTCGTGAAAATTCTACAATCGCTTGTATTTATCTAACTAAATTACAATTACCCTACGTGAAACGATTGTCAAATTTGTATGTGTCTAAAATTCCAGTTTTTACAAAATATTATGCCCCGTGGACCCGGAAAAACTGGGCCCTAAAAAAGAAATTTGACAAACTCGGACAGAGAGTATTTGATTCCTGGTTTATTAATTATGAAGATAGAAAAATCATTATTAATCGATTGAAGAAAATAAGAAAGAAAGAAAGAATAGAAGCCTCTGAACAAATTGACGAAGTAACCGAAAACGATTTAATACCTGCTTACAAATTTTTTGGGGTTAGTTTGATCATTGCGTTATTAATTTTTTGTGTCGAAGTAATAATAGAAAAAATGTCTACTCATTCTAAAACCGATCATAAGCAAACGATGACAAGAGTTGAACCAAAAATTGAGCGCTCTAAGCGCCGAAAGACTATCAAAAAATACAAGCGAAATCGTAATCGAAGATCTTAGTTACCGTGAAAATAATTTGTTGATGGTGTAAATTCATTTCAAGGGTTTAAAAACGCACATGTCGTTTATTGATTATATAATATAAAAGTATTTTTTCAATGGAATAATAAATTTATATTGCATGTTTTGTTTTGTGATGAGTGATGATAATATATCAATCGATTAATTCACTTAGAACTGAAATGAAATGGATTATCATGTTATTCACTGTGTAATAATGAAAAATATATTGATGTGTTTACGAATCTCAATTTTTATTTATTTACAGCCACAACTACTTGTTTTTTTTTTTAAATTCCCGCTAAGAAAATTGAAAATTTTCCACTAAAGGGAAGTTATTGATTTCGGTCCGATTTTCAAAAGTCGAGTTTTCATCGGATCTTCACGTTTTGATTTCCAGATTTTTTCGGGAGATTCGTCTTTCAAAAAATAAAAAATAGTCGCTAGAAACATTTTTACCTAAACATTTCTGCATGTTATTATTCGAACACTTAAAATAAGTAAAGGTAACTCGCATGACCTCGACGAACCAATAATAAACCACTACTCAAATACTTCGCATTATATCAGTGGAAAAAAGTTATAAAATCTGATTTAACTGGGATTCAAACTCGTACCTCCTAATTAACCGAAAAAAGCTATCAATTGAGCCTGAATTTTTACTATACCTATAATTTAATTCAATACTAAGTAGATTTAATATCCAGCGTCGATAATTTTCGCACTTTGGATCAGAAGAATTTCACTTAAAAAAAAAAAAAAAAAAAAAAAAAAAAAAAAAAAAAAAACTAAACAATAAAATAAATATTTTTTTTAATGCACCGTGATTTCAAAAGCAATAAAATAATATTACAATGTAAAGTATGAAGATTCTGAAAATAATCAAGTCCAGAAGCAAGTGTACCGTGACGGTACAGCATCCTGTCTTTTCCTTCTGCCCTTCACTTGCCTTACACCAGTTAAGCCGTCGATGTAATGTACATTATACACACCAACACAAACATTTATTTTATCTTACAGCACACAGGCTTCTCAACTCATACCTATGCACTAAAATTGATTCTGTACATTATATTTTTTTTGCTTTGTTTAAATTATTCTTGCGCTGACTCGAATACTGGGAGACGTATCGAGGTAGTGCTACAAAATGTGTACCATCGGCACCTCTTTGCTTCTGGTCTTCCGCTTTACGTACATCCTTCTACACTTATATATATTTATATTTGTATATTTATGTTTATAGTTATAGTTATACTTGTACTTATACTTATATTGGAGTTGTATTACGAGGCTTGTAATCATGCTTTATCATAATTTTCATCATTATCGTCATCATCATACTCAATACGTGATCGATTGCGATATTGTAGGCATAGAAGGAACAACCATTAAAGAAAAACCACAATCGACCTTTATATCTCTTATAAATATTAAAATAATAATAATAATAATAATAAAAGTTATAAAATTCAAAATACCTCACCACTCGCCCTCATATTAATATGAAATATTAATAAAAAAAAATATTGATAGATATTGTTAAAAATAGGCGTGCAGTTCTATACTGATTGATATTTTTTTATTTTTTAAAATTAACTTATGATTATAATTAATTTTGAAGCAGTTTTAATCGTATAATGTTATTATATCATATAAATTTATCAAAAAAGAAAACTATAAAATTCTTTTTATTGTATTATTTTCCGATAGATTAAATACGCACACAGAAAAAAAACTTCTTGAATCAAGAAAATTTTAAGCAAAACAAAAGTTATTTTGGAGCAAGAAGAAATTTTCTTGGCTCAAGAAACTTGGACTTCATCCAAGATATTTCCAATCTTCCTTAATATTTTCTTGAGCCAAGAAAATATACCTTTCAGTCAAGAATTTTTTTTTTCAGTGCACGATTATATGGGCGCCGATAACGAGAATTTTACCGATAGCAAAAAAAAATTAAAAACAGTAATAATAATGCACCAGAAATAGTACTTAACTCGAATCCGATCTCAAATCAGAATTCTTATAAATTGATACTGGACAATTTACACATTTTAGAAATGGTTATGCAATACTAACTATATTACCAATCATAAAACGATCTACTGTTGAAACTGTTACAATCGGTAAATTTCTAAATTTGATTTAGATTCACTAAATTTTAATTAGGACCATACATTTAAAATTAGAGATTGAATTAATAAAACAAACATTTTTTAATAAGATAATCGGGGTTGGTGAGTATCAAAATATTCATCAATTAGAAGAAAACACTGATACTTAATTTAATAAAAAAAAAAAATAATAACCAGACAAGAAATTTTATTCTTGTTATAAACGGTATGGCGATTCTTCCAATATAAATCAGCATACAAGGCACCACAGAAAAATTTTCATTGTACTAACAAAGTACTCACTTAAATTAAAATTACTATTTGATGTAATTAAGAATGATATTTTAAAGTCTTTCCAAATAAATGAATTTTTACAGGTGAAAATATTTAATTTGTGATGAAAATTCAAGAAAAATCGATGTTAAATAGAAATTTTTAAATTAAATTTGATCGCTTTACAAGTGAAAACTTTAAGTTATCTCTCGCCACCTGCAGGGGGTGTCGCGGGGCTGTTTGTTTTAAGTTTTAATCAATTTGATCTATTTTCCCAATATTTTCAGCTCTTAACTCTGCAAGTGAAAATGGTATCTAAATATTATTTAATGCTAAATAAAGGTTATATTATGCCAATTATATTTATTTAAAATGCGTAATTTAATTATAGAAATTTTCTCATTAAATATATCATTTATTTTCAGTAACTAAAATATATTTTTACTTAAAAATATGAATAGGTTAAATATTCTCCAGCAGAGAGTCTAAAATGAATAAACTATTAAACTAAAGCTAGCAATTATTCAAAGCTTAATATTTATAATACTGTATTTTCATCTAATCCCTCTCTTTGTATTAAATATACCTGCAGTCCCAATTGTCACCTCCTAAGCTCCAGGTCTGTTTTACAAGCAAACCCACTGCAAAAATCCCAGCCCGCTGTTCATCGCTATCCCCACGGTGTACAACTCTGTCTTAAATTTAGTGCACTTAAATATCCGCTTATTATTGAAGTTTGCTGATTTAGAAAAATATCTCCTTTTGATCCTTAAATCTTACCCTTACCTTCATCCTATATTTTATATTTAAATTTTTCTTCAATTTACGGCTATAAATTATACATTTTTTTAATCCTAAAATTACGTCACAATCAAAATGAACAAGAAATTTCTTTAAAAAAAAATGATTAAGTTCAGCTTTACAAAGCGTACGTATATAGATTTCACGCTAAACAAAATTTGCTTATCTATTTATTTTGTTTTGTGCATATGTGAATGTGATTATTCATCAAATATTGATCCATTTAATTGATGAGTAAATAAGTAAAGGTTATGACAGGCATAACTTTATTATAAAATAGGATTGCAGTAAAATTCGGTACAATCAACAAAATTGTAACCTTAATTTATACTTTTTCATTGTTTGGTATTTTTTCGGTGATAATCAATTTATCATCTGAATAATTAAGAGAATAAAGAAAATTTTATTCCGAACAAATATATTTTTTGAAAGAGATTTTTATTTAAAATTTGGTATCGCTAAAAAGATGCTGACCTGAATTTATGTCTTTATGATTTTATATATTTTTTGGAAAAAGTTAATTTCTTATGTTACGTTTTTAGAGAAGTTTTGAATAGTTTGTTGATTCTACACGGAGAAAATTTTATAGTAGAGTTTATCATCTAGTTATGTTAAAATCTATTAACTGAATTCGATAGTAGTAAATATTATTTAAATAATTAAATAAACCATCTAAATTGTAGTATTTACCATCCTGATGGTAACTACTACTATTGTGATGGTAATCAGTAATAATAACTGTTATTATTTTAATTAGTTACTACTATTATCAAAATCGTAATTCCTAATATAACCTGATGGTTGTAGTTACCATCAGTTATAATAATAATAACTACTATCTAAGCTACACTGTTAAAAATTTCTATTCCTTGAATTTTACTTGAATTGAAATAATAAAAAAGAAAGAATTGATTTAATATCTGTTGTCATTTTATTGTTATGAAGCGCTGACTAGATTTGGTATCTCACGTAGACCTAATTTGTTCAACTCAGATGATTTAAAGTGAAAATAATATATACCCTAACTAAGAACCGAACCCGAGCCGCGCGCTTGCCAGACCGATACCTAACGCCCTACGCCGTACGACCGATAGGTGATTCAACATCTTATTATTCTCATAAGCTAATCCTATGTGGTGATTGAGCATTACGGCTTATTATTTATAATTTACATTAATTGTGTTATTTTATGCTGTTTATTGATGGAAAAGTCTAACATATACTCATTCAAATATATTGATTTCAAAATGATCGTTTGAGCATAATATTAAAATTTATAAAAGATAAATTATACCTCGAATTTATTATTACAAATAAACAACCATAGACTAAAAATTTGTAAAAATAAATATGAAGGACATTGTTGTTTTTTTATACATCAGTCTCATTTTTGTAAAATTGAAAAGTATTATTTTCAAAATTAGAAAACAGTGAAGTAGAATCACAATTCGTGTAATATAAATAAAATTTTCTATTTTCTGGTAACATTACATTGCACTGTATAATTTTACAATGAAAATTGTAAAAATAAAAAAAAAGCTTTTTAAATTTTTTATGAGATTATTGTAATATAAATGACAATATTTTTTTTATGATTTTACATACAATTATGCCGAATCAAATTAAAAATAATGTTTGCAAAATTAAAAAGCTTTTTCTTAAAAATTGACGAA